TTAAAAAATAATAGGGGCCAGCAGGTGGCGTGGTGGTTAAGGGTGCTGGACTCCCACGTGGCCAACTGCAGTTCTACTCTCGGATCTGGTGGCTTCCTTTCTCTCTCTCTTTCTCACTCCGTCCCTCTCTGGTCAAATTGAAATGAGCAAATAAATAGAGTTAAATAAAAAAATAATTCTTAAAAAATTTTTTAAAATAGTAATAAAATTAAACACATAATTCTTAAAAAAAAAAAGAAAGAAAGAAAAACGTTCAGGTGTGTCTGTTTACTACCTAAAGTGCAATGATTTTGCTATTACAAATGAAGCTAGGTACAGCTTAGTATCATGCCTTACAGGGATCACAGTCCACCCTTGTTCACTGCCATATCTCCTCCTCCTCCACTTCAGTTCTTTACTCTCCGACAATACTGTTATCTGTAGCTCCTTCTGGATAGCAAGCTCTTTCAGGCTCCTATATATTATACATATTTCCCCTGCCCTCTACCTTCTCAGTAGTAGTGCCATATAGTGACCACACTCCAAAACAGAAATTGTAGGGGACACATGCAAACCACAGCAGTGGGTGACTTAGGGTTTATAGTCAGTGTGTCCACTACTTCATGGACAGTTGTCGACTTGTTTCTCCATTCCCAGTCTCTGAAATATCGCTGTTACACATTTTATTTCCATGTGCATTATAAATCTTACAATATAGTACTATTTTTAAAAGAAGTATTTTATTTAACTTTAGTTATTTATTCTAAATTTGGCCAGAGAGGGACAGAGTAAGCAAGAGAGAAGGAAAGTGAGAAAGCAAGCTGCTTTCCAGGAAGCCAGGTCCAGGATTTGAACCGTGGTCAGCCATGTGAGGGTCCAGTGATCTTAACCACCACGCCACCTGCTGGCACCAATATAGTGCTACTTTTGCTTTAAATAATCAATTACCTTTTAAATAGATTGGAATTTTAACAAAAGACCTTTACTCACAGGATGACTATATTTGCTATTCATTTTTTGGTGTGCGTGCATGCGTGTATGTGTGAGTATGAGTGTGAGTGTGTGTGTGTGTGTGTGTGTGTGCTAGGTGCAGATTTCTATCTAGCTGTTGGATTTTCTTTCTCTCTAAAGATTTTAAATATTTCTTTAAAATGTAGACCTGACGATAATGATTTATTTTAAGTATTATATGACTGGAAAACATCTCTATTTCACTCTCATATTTTAAAGAGTATTTTCAATAAATAAATATTATTGTATTGGCCAGATTTTGTTCTTTTGAAAAAAGAAAAAGATGTTGCCTTGTGGTTTTCTTGCAATTTCTAAGAAATCTACTTTTCTTTTTCTTTTTTTTAAGAGAGATTCTTACCATAGGGCACATGCGCTTGCCAAAGAGAGACAGAAAGCAAAAAAATCAGCCCTCAGGGTTGATGGCCACACCGCAATCCCTTCCCCTCCATTCTGCTCTCGGGATCTTGGGCGCGCGCACACACACACACACACACACACACACACACACACACACACCTGGCATGAGCTGTAAGCCACTGGGTCCGGGACTCAAACTGCAGTCAACTATGTGGAAGTCCAGTGATATAACCATTATGCCATCTGCTGGTCCCTCTCTCTTTTCTTTTGTGTGTGTGCTCGACAGAGAGACAGGGAGAGAGAGGAACACCCCTGCCCCATGGAAGAGTATTCCATCCATCTCTCCCACCTTTCAGGAATTTGGGCACGCACATGGTCCTGGTCTGTTTCCCAAACCACCAGGTCTATGGCTTGTACCAGGCGGCCAGCCATGTGGGATCCAGTAACGTTATATGGATACAGGCCTGGAGCTGGCTGGCTAGGTCACCTTTATTTTTATTCCTCTACATGTAAGGTTCTTTTTTTTTTTTTCCCCTGGCTGGAGTTT